GGAGGTAMGAATTCCAAAATCTTAAACATATTGACAGAATCTATTTCAATTTCTCACATGGTAGATTGAAAAGTTAGGGCACAGAATTTATMCAAAGAAACAGGGTACCGATATTAAATAAAATTGTCGACATTAAATAGCTTCAGCTCAATTCCAGGGACATCAAGAACAAACTTGTGATGATTTTAAGATTGTAGTAATATATAATGCTAAATATGACATTTAAGAATACTAATTCAAATTTGAAAAAAGTATTACGATGAGTTTCCCGAAGAATTCTTCTCGATAATAACGCTCAGAATGGAACAAGATTTAAACATTTTTTTATAGCTACGAGAGAAAAAAACAGTCAGATTTATTTTACTTCACTGCTTTTCGTTTTCAGTCTCCTTTGCAGCCCAACAATAGGACGAGCTGCCAAGGAGGATAACCATTTTTACAAATTTACATTTCATACGTACGATATCCCGCTTTCAAACCATCTCGGGGAGTGTCGGTTAAGGACAAAAAAATATAAACAAGTGTAACGAGGCGCAATTTTTATTCTCATCTTTTATAGACACCTTTTCACGAGTTTCCTTTTAATATACATATTGTATTTTGTTTATATTTTATAGAATTAAATAATTGAAAAGTCTGTCTACACACAGCGAGTGTTCAGCTAGAATCCACAATGTATCTTTCTTTGTGCGCCACTTCGCAGTCTCATAAACACTAATCTATATATGTTATATACTTTTTAATTTGTTCTAATATTCCGCGTTTCCAATCAGATCGTTCTACCCGCCAACTAACACTAAATGCCAAAAAAAACGTCGTAAAAATTATCTAACATGCAACATATATCTTGAATGTTTTTAAAAAAAGAACCACTTCCGTGTGGCTTCAATTTGGCTACTATTTTGGTTTCACTAACCTATCGATAGCACGCCTCGCTACAACCTGTTACGAAACCATCTGTTTTAAGCGTCTACTCCTGATGTAATCTTAACTTTTTGTGGGACATTTTATGTCCCCAGATGATAAATGACCCCCATTAAGCGAGAAAAATTCATACAGTCAAATTGCAGGTCTTCCGATCCGTTTGGCTATCAAGTGGTCTGTTTCTCGAGTACTTTGGTCATTTCGTAATATATAATTTCTTAACCTTGTTAAGTCCACTTATCAGGTAACTCTATCCATCGAGTGATCTCCGACTTTTTCTTATCGTTTTATTAAAGCGTTCCGTTTGCTATCGTGTTATCGGTAGCTACTTCAGTGAATCTACCTTTGCTAATTCGCCATAAATCAACGGGAGTGTTTGAACGGTGATTTATCAACTAAAATGCGCGCAGAAATCCCACCATGGCTGAAAACGTGGTGCTTAATACGTAAGAGATTTAATGGAGCAGGTTTTATTACAGTTGATACCCATCTGACTCCTATCTTAAAAGCAGAAGAACGAATGATGCTTTTAAAGCKGATTTTTAAAGATCTAGAAAACATYGAAAATTGATTTTCTTAAAGATTTTGTTTTTGCCGTTAACGTGAATGTTTACCCCTAGCTTGTCGTAGAAWYCAGTCTTTTGAAATAACTCTAACTTGATAGWTTACTAAAAACTAAAGTTTTTGCGGCAAAAATCCATRCAAAAAGAAAAATTAGATTTTAMTAATCTATTGTATCGTACAAGTAAWCTTATTGYTATGCAGGTGAAAACACTAGAAGGCCGTGAAACAAAATYTAATACAGTAAAAATCCGCGAAACAGGAAAAGATCCTGTATTTTTCAATTAATCGGGTAAAATATAAGTACTTCTACAAAGAAAATTAAGATTTCCAAGGTTATTRACCTTACAATAGACTCTTATATATGTTAATATGAATTTCATTACTGACAAAAAAAACATAAAATTATGAATATTATGAATATCATACAACATGTTACATATAAGATTGATGGAAAGTAACGTTATGTCAATAAAGATGATAGTCTAAATTCAGCAGCTTCTTCTACCCACACACTTTCACAGCCCACTCATAAAAAACCTAACTAAAACTTTAGCCTATCAGGTTCTTGTAACCGATGTCTGATATACGTGGACTATTATTGTAATCAAAGTCTAATAATCCAGTTGACAAAACGAAGGAGTAAGCGACCTCTATGGTGTATTAGTTTGATTTTTYAAKGGTTGATTGAAAGTGAAGCCACTATTGGATAATTTTCTAATTGGGAATTTGGAAAAAGTCGACCAATAGGACGCATTATACATTGMGTGTGGGATGATTGGTACATAGAACAAAGTGATACACCCATGCAATCTTGAAAAGACGCCGATTTCCTATATATATAAACTACAATGGAAATGTCTATTTAAGATGGAGATTCTTTTAGGATCAGCTGTATATCTATTCATTAAAACCAAGATTTCAAGCTGCCAAAAGCAACAATTCCCACTAATTTTTGACATCAGTTCACAAATTTCACGGAACCTATACGTGCAAAAACGCCCCTGGACTTCAAATAGTTGATAGACCTTGTTCACACCTATTTTAAAACCAAGGACGTTCGTTATACGATCAATACAAGAGATGGGATCACATTCAAAACACATAGCGTGAAAGTGCACTATTTTTACTTGCGCAGGTTTCAATGGAACCTGTACAACCTGCTAGTTTATCTAATTAGATCACGCTGAGACAAGTGCATGTCATTTAAATCACAGGCATATGGCTGTGCTATCAAGGAGTAAAGGCCGAAAACCTTTATTTGAGTAGTAAAAACCGTCAAAGGCAATGTTAGTTGTTCTTTTTTAATAGACCTTGCAAAATGCATACAAAATTTACAGTGAGCATCATCGCCATTGAAAAAATTGGTATTTGAAAATAGGCATACAGATCTGCTACAAGCAGCGAAGGGCGAAAACCTTTATGCGAAATTTAGAGCAATAGACAGCATTATTTATTTCCAAGGAACTGTACGAACTGCATAAATCTACAGCGTTGAACCGGGCTGGGCTTTTTAGACCTGGGGTTTAAAGTCCTTACTCAAGTTTAGGCCGATGGGTGTCTACCCTAGCTACACCCTCTCCAACTACTAAAACAGCTATTAACTAATACTGCAATAATTAAAGGCGTGGAATAGGACAATAAATCAAGTTATCAGCGTTGGACTTTTACGTGAWGTTACAACAAACGGTTTATCATTCCATTTATCTAACTATAAGACATACTATTGTTTAATATAACCCGTGGTTCAATGATTAATCGATGGGTACACGTCATTGACAAGCTATCAGTCATGAGTAATAGAACAAGAATTTCTGTACTATGAAACCACAAATGGAGAATTGTCATGGCTTGGTTTTAGTGACAGACGTGAGAGTATTTCAAGAATACAATCTATGAAAAGATGACTGTCTTTGTTTCATTTTAACACATTCTGAACGACCAGATATTTAAATATATCAAATACAAACTAAAAACAAAAAAAAACTTACTTGATAAATTTTTTAAGCCGTTAAGTTTAAAGAGATTCATTATATTTTATTGAAATTTAAAAATTGAAAGTTTGATTAATTTTCAATCTTACTTCCAGATTTAAAAAAGGTCCAAGATTAAATGATGCACCCGGTTGAAGTCACTAATGATACATGTTAATGGAGAGCTTTTTTCAAGATGACTGTACCATTTCATAAGATCCTAATTTTACTTTGCACTTACTAATTKACAAATTCAATCACAACACGTTGGCCGTGCGAGTATTGAAGCAAACGGTCTTATGTCACCTGCAGAGAGTGAAACTACGTTTGCCGGACTAATACCAGAAACAAAAGATAAACTATCTTTAAATACCAACTCTTGCAAATAAAAACCTACCATTTAAGTTGTACTAAAGTATATTTTACATAATGTTTGTATTCAATAGAATAAAGATTGTTTTCAGCAACCTACAAAAGATAAAAATGAAAATGGCTCCAAGTCGCGCCCTTAACTTTGATAAACTTGACTGCATAAGTACAACGCCGACTRGTAAAACRAGGACAATAAGCCTTTAGTGACCTGCAGGGCGTCTGACTAACATTACAGGTGGCAATTAAAAGAAAAAGACAAACGTTGTTTGGGTTAATAATGCGTGTGTAGATGCCTCCACACAAAAGGAGGGATGGAGGGGTTTGTTGACAAATTCACAACAAAAAGAAAACCATAGAGATCTCTGAAGTAACAGCRCACTAAAAGCCAATATCTCAAATGTGGTTTCATTTACAAGTGAAGGAATTCAGAGACAATCTTYTTAGAAGTATTAATTTTCAATTCAACGTATTTTTAAAAAATCTCGACATTTGTACAAAGAAATGAAAAGTTAACCATACATTTTTAGAATGGTGGGAACTAGCGGTAAACTAGTGTGAGCTGCGTYGGTGTTTCTAAAGAAACAGTTGTGTAAAAAGATAAATTTAACACCGTAAAAAAGTAGGTGAAATATATAACTTACTGACGTTTCGGACGTTAATTATTCGTCGGAGTAAAGAGGTCAAATTTATTGGCTGTTGAGAGMCTTTTCAGTCTAAAGTTTCAACAAATTGTTTCTCAAACTTGCAATTTTTTTTTAACTTAACGTTGTTACTTTCAGTGACAGTGGTGGATTTTACGAAAATGCAATTTGAATTTTGGGTGCAACTATGAAATGGACTACAGCACGACCCTCAGACGCCATTGAGTACATGTGTTACGCTATTCAACAGRTACCGAACACTTGAGCTTGCCATTACAAGAAAATGATTTATAATTTTATAAGTCTTAAAAAAGAGCAAATGCCAAGCCRCAGCAATAAATAAGGGAATATCTGATTAATTCTCATGAAGAGATCACTACGGATGAAGATACGTAACAATAATAAACGTAACCGTTTAAYAGTAATACAGCAGGACGTTAACGGTGCGATACGCAATGGGTAAATCACGTAACGCAGAATATTCACCACCGATATGAGTAGATTACGTACGCACGAAGATACGTTCAACAGTGATATCAACAATGAGTTTATTAATATTGWGGAATATTGACCTTACGATACGCAATTAAGCGGAGATGATCACGTGCGGATGAAGATACGTAATTATAATTTACGTTGCGATAAATTTTAAACACTACAGCAAAATGTAAGGACTTTTATTCACGAGCGCATGTTCTCAGTTCAATATCTACTAGACATATCCCTTACGTATCCCTTACGTATTTCTTACGTATCTTTCATGTATGCCATTCATTATATGACGAGATYAATGCGCTAGACAAGGAGTACCAAAGGTAGAATTTTTGGGCTTGTCCACATGAAGTGCGGTAAGCCGCACATTCATTAATGAAGACAGAATACTTGGCGCCAATTTTCTCGATGATTCGTGATTATTCATAAGTTCTAAACAAAGTCTTAACAGCTCTACGTTAAGTGCTTGCCATCATTAGATCCTCAATGACGCGTAACTTGCACGCAGTCAATAACGTATTCATGCACGCTTCAGAAAGCACCGTTCTGGGCCGCGTTCCAATATTCTTCGCGACACGAATACTGTGGGCCCTAAGCTTTGATATTGTTAATTTAGAGAAAATTGTACAAACAATGATTTCAATTAATACAGAGAGCAATATCTTTTATATGTTGACAAACGAAAATAACCACCTTTKATGTATTTACGTATGAGCACCGTCAGAATATTTTCTCGTACGATATCAATATATACTTTGTGAAAAAAGGAATCTTCGGCACGGAAATAAGTTGGTTAATATTTCATAAAAGCAGGAAAAAAACTCTCTCTTGTTGGAGTTAGTAGAAAGACTGAAAATGTTGACAAAACTCAAGTTGTAGCACGCTCAGATAGCCATCGAGGCGTATCTGAGTCATGATGCCATAGTCTTCAAACCCACGTACATTTTAGACTGCATCACGTCTGTCCTAGCTTGTTTAGCGAGATTGGATCGAAACTGCAATTTCAGTGTCACTTTTTGGTGTGTTKTCCTCCTCAGTCTCTTTACTTTGACCTGTAAAAATATAAAAATATTAGGACTATATTTTTGTCATCAGAAATCGAGCGTTYTTGCATAATATTTATACTTTTATAAACTTTGGAACTTGTTAGAAAAATACGTTTCCGTTGTACACAATTTGTTGATGGAAATGGTTTTCACTTCACACTCTATGTATATATCTGTAAACATTTTGCACGCATTCTACTAGCTATTTCTTTTATTTAAGGTACTATTTTCCGTTTTGACTCGAATGATCGAGTGGTAGTTAAATACAAGTCATAAGGGCCTGAATCTGTTTTAAAACAGGTTTTCTTTTTTCAATTTTTAGAGCTGAAAAAAGAGTCTTTCTGATCCTTTAGGAGGGAAGTTTSTCGTCGTCATTTCTTCCTTTTCTCATCACGCATAGCCAGAAGAAATACCTTGCATTTTACAAATTGATAATTTCAACGACGCACAACTCTCACTGAATGCGCAATTAATGCAATGGACTGGAAAAAGCAAATGTTCAAAGACTGAATTTTACCWAAAATAATCGAGCCTGCCTTCAAATTCAAAGCCGATTATCACGATGTTGAGCACAAAGCAAATATCAGACCATATCGATATCACATGGTCACAATACTAATAATTGTACATAATCGTTGTTATTATTAAGATCTTAACGCAGTATTAGACTCAGTGTAAGACGTATATTGGTATGACGAGTCTTTGATAGAGATCGTCTTTACGTAAGAGACTTTCCGGATTTCAGCGTCGACACGATTTGACGTGTTTATTGTAAGGTCACCGAAATGCATTGGAATTTGCAAATTTTTACCGCGAATAAAGAAATATCAAGGCCATTGGTAGCATGGCGAAAGAGGTGAAATGTTTGACGTCGTAAAGTCCGTTTCACACTTGCGATTTTTGCAGAGCGATTCTCGCGGTGATCGTCGTGCGACCATCGCCTGAGTTTCGAACATGCTTGAAAATTGGCTGCAACTTCGCGGCGATTTTCCATAGCCGCAACAATCGCAGGGCTGTTTACACGTATGATTTGAGCTGCGCGATAGCAAAGTGGCGATTATCGCGCTGTAAAAATCGCAAATGTAAACAGGCCTTTAGGGAAAGGAATTTAGAGAGCTCTGTACTCTTCTTTTTTGAATTTTTACCAGCCATCTATCCAACATTCATCCCTCTCACTCTATTGCATCCCTCTCTCATTCTATTCATCCCTCTCTCATTCTATTCATCCTTCCATCTGTCAATCCATTTATTCATTCCGTCATTCATTCCGTAAGCATTAAAGTATTCATCGTAGAAAAACTCAGATTAGAATCGTAATAAAATTACAAATATTGCCTGGTGAGGTAGAGCTTTAATCACCTTTAAAATGGAATATAGAGCTAGAATACCATAAAGGTATATCATGCATTTTAATCTTGTTTAAAACACGACTGACGACATTAACAAGTCCAATAATTATCACTAAATCCGTCCGTTAATATTGGTACACTTACACTGATTTAGGTATTCCTCGAAGAAAGCTAATCTTCCAATCACAGAACCAAGAACCTCCGCTGGTGGACCCTATAATAAACAAGTAATTACTATTATTATTATGAATCAATAATAATAATTAATAGTCAAGCGACAATGTAGTGGTAGACAGTAGAGTGTCACAAGAGAGGGACTAAATCCAAATATTGAAGTGAACGTGAATTTATCGATGTATAATGCCAATGGTAAAAGCGAGAGAGAATTGATCTTGCACACAACACCATCAAACTGCTATCGTAGCATGAGTCAATTTTACTTAAGTGTTAGAGCACGTTCCTGAGGATTAAACTTGTTTGRTGGTGTTGGATTGAGTAAAAAACATGTTGGATGGAGGTTAGCCATCTTGTTTGATATCATTTCATACCCAGCGGCAAAGAATTTGTTCGGATGATTCAACGATACTGGGTTATCCAATAATGTTTATTGCTCTTCAGTGATTCAATAATTCTCCTTGTTGGCTCGTTATGGAAAACATATATTCATTTGAGTTTGTCAGTCACATCTGAATTAAAGTCACCATTAACAAAACATATAGAATCAACAGGTATCCTCGATTATATAACCCCTGGTTATTAATAAAACCTTCTAACCTCTTTTGTCATTCATTTACCACTAAAACCCGAGTACCTTTTTCAGATAGGACAAGCAAACCTTTGATAATAAGAAGAATCGGATRCTATATTTTACACCGCCGACAGGGACAAAAGCGAGACTTGGTTCATATAGGCCTGGGACACTAAGGGGTGGTGTACGAGATTAAGATAATAGCAGTGATATAAGGATTTAGAAAACATGCACCAAAGTCAATATARAATAGATATGGAGGTTTTGTTTGAAGACCGTAGGAAGTCTTACAAAAAAGGGAAAAACTCTATGAAAGACAAAACTTGGAAATAATAAGACCTTGGATGGATATCAAAACTTGAAAACCCATAAGAGTAATGCTTTAATCGATGTTTTCGGTTTCCCTGGTTGTAAATAGTTGTGACATTGTGGTGAAAGTGAATTAAAAATATAATGAAGCAAGCCATAAATATCGAGCAGCCATTTGCTGAGAACGGACGAAAAAACTTAATAAATTTTTGGTGTTTTTTTTTATATAAGGTACTAAATTGAACCTGAGTGTAAAGCAATTTTCCACAGCTAGCGTGAAACTAGTGTAGAAGTCACTAATTAAAATCGCGGTTTCCTGATAAGATTATGAATACAGTCAAAACGTGATATTTTGGACATTCTTCGTTCGTTTATGATGTATTCGTAATGATCCATCCCATCATCAGACCTTAGTCCTAATAACATAGTCCTATTTAAAAAAAAACACACATAAAAAAGACAAAACCATAAACAGTTTTATTATTCMTGACATTTGTGTCAGACAGACAGACAAAAACTGTATACTTTACAACATTATAAATGTACTAAATTCTCATTTGTGCCCTTTAGGGTACAATCTATGCATTATRCACTGTTAATATTTACTTTGCGCTGTAKAAGGAGGTCAATTATATTCCWATTTGCTTAGKTTAAGAGWTATACCATTAGACGCCCTATAGCTATGTTAATCTAAAGTAAATATTTGTTCAGTGTGATATAGTAGTTTCGCAGGTTGTATTTGCTCAGCCGCAGTCGTTCTTTGGTCTGCTTCCGCGTAATAATATCAAAAGATAGCGTATTTATTTACTGTGTAATTTAGGTATAAGTGAACGATTTTTCGCATGTTTGCTAAGCTAATAGAACTAGACGCTATGTGCAATGATCATTRAAAACAAAGCAATTAACAAAACATCGATTTTTTTTTGCGGTATGGTTAGACGCCACCCTACGTACTATGTAATTATCCCTGATTGCTATTATTTCTGGTATAATACTTGTATAGTATGTCTGTACCTTCCACTCTTTGTCATGCTTAGAAAAAATTTATAAGTCTGCATAATAATACGAAAAAATGTATATTATGACAAGTTAACACTGCCCTAAACCCCAGTAATATGTATAAAATAAGATGTGATTATTTCTTGTAATATMATATTGGTATTTTTCAGTATTTCATCATTAATGGCTAATGCAATAGAACATAAAAAAACCTGGATTAAGCATTTTATTCTATGGCTTAACCCTAGTAACTATCAATAAAATCCTGTTATTATTTTTCGAGATATACAATATTAACTATATGTCAGTATTCTTTCATATTCGCTCCTTTTTGCTCTTATACATTGCCTTTTATTATATAACCAAACCCGCGTAATTATCCATAAAGTACAGCTATTATTGATTGTAACATACAGTTTGTCGAAGTAGTGTACCCAGCAGGTGTATAACTAAACGCCCCGTACAATTATACGACGGATCAAATCACACTCGACCCATATTTCTACCAAGAAGTCGAGTATCCCTAATCTTCCTCATCAAMGAGATCAACACAGTTCAACGCTAAGCAAATAAGGGTTTAAAAACCTGTGCAGCCATTGTTCCAACCTATTGAGCGTTTTTGCACTTAGTCAATGGGCAAACAATGAGATTATCACTTAAATCTATTTACTGAGCTTACTACTTCTATCTAGCTCACAAAGATTCATGCCATTCCCTAGCTTCGACTTTGATCACTTATTCTAGAACACAAAAGAACCCCCGAAAAATCCTTCTAGCAGATCTTAGTGTTATTCATTCAGGCTTAGCTTCCTGTATAACGATGCTAATAGACACTGAKCCCCTAAGGGGAGGTTTAGAGCTTGTTGACATGAGCCCCGTAGTTTYAATTGTACTTTTTATAGGTGCTTTGTCAGTGGCCATTCAGAGCATGTTAGCACCCCATGCTGTGTTGAAAGCTTGTGAAATGGCCATSGTTCCAGTACGGATACATTTTACAATAACAAGGATGTCCTAATATGATGGATGTACTGTGCTATGATGCCCAGTCAAGCATTGGACATAAATACAGTCAATGAAATATCGAAGGTTTATGTTGCACTCACAATACCACTAATAACCTAAGACTTATATTTCATATATAGCGATTTTGTTCAATAAAGTCATGACGATATTTAACCGCTAGTTTGCTTTGACTAATATAAAAACCCTGAAATACGAACATGGCTTAGTATTCACAGTCACTTTGATGGAGTCAGAGTGCGTTCGTGAAGCATGGTTGAGTGGGAAAACGCTGTGTTACTAAATGGASTACTAGGTATGTCCATTTTGCCTGGAGGGACACATTCCTTGTTTTCGTAATCCTYCTTGTAAACAAAAACGTTTTCAGTTCCTAAATGGTTTAGAAACTAATCTTAACAGTGAATTTCTTTTCTTTTATAAGGGRTAGTCCAATGAAGTTTACAGTTTAGAGTTTAGTACAAAAATAATCATTTATCCAACTGTGTTGACACGTATTTAGTGAATTTGAAATTTCCAAAAGGTTGCTTTGTTTAGAAATGTAATTACGTGTCTTGCCTACTAGCGCTGAACAAGTTCTGCCCCCTTACAAACTCCAAAACACGCAAACGTAGTTACCCAAAGTACTATCAAGGAATAGTTCATACTTAGAGTCAAAGATTTCAGTGCGAAAGTTAAGAAGCCGAAAGTGAGCTTCTAGCCAGAGGAAGTTGTCGCAAAAGAAGCGAAAGCCATGAACGCGATCGAGTCGTTGGAGTGTGAAGCTCTACAGCGACACCTCATGGCATCTTGTAGGGATCTCGATATTGGACAAGAGTTGCAGTAATTTTAAGCTATTATTATAATTAGAAGCTTGTACCTTTCACGCAAATCGAGTGATAGTGTGCGCGCGAGATGGACAATAAAATTGTCGCATTCTTTCGTAACAAAAMCATTTTCAGACCACTGAGAAGTTGTACATGACATTCTTATTTCCACTTTCATGAACACTGCTTTAAGAGTACATTAAGGTGTATGTGAATGGCCAAATATGGCGCGGGGTCAGTTCGGTTTTGTTATTATCTTTATGGAATATTTCTACACTTCACGTTATTCATGCCCTGGAGGCATAAAACCAGACGTAGAAAGCACTTGGTGATTAACTTCTTCTGCTGTTATTATTTCCAAAACTTTTCTAATTATCTTATAAAGTTTGAACGGCGAGAGAAGGAACTTTTAAGCCCGAAAAAGGTGATTGTACAGGAAGATTTGTGAATAATGTRAAATGATTGAGGAACGCCCCATTTGACTGCTTGTAACTATCAAACGTCTCGTTGTTATAAGGGTAACAGCGTGTATTATTCTATTTTAATTGACGATATCACCTCAATATCTCCCATGTTCATACTGTTTTTAGACTTAATCTATTGTTATTAAAGGTAAATTAAGTAAGGAAACAAAGGCATCAACACAGCAAGGAGTCGAGGGTCGAACAGCAAGCAAACTATGTTCCYTCAATGTGAAGTTATACGCTTAATTACCGAACATGATTTTTCTTATACACATATCCTATTCAAATATCGTTATAAAATATYATACTTTTGGTCAAACATCTTAAGAATCTGTTCTCAACAGAGGTTAAGTACTTGTGAATTTCACTTAAAAGGGCGCGAAACCAAGGAGTGCGTGTGTTCATTTCGTTTCTGCCAGCGCGCCATTTTTCTTCCTAATTTCGAGTGCTAAGTGCTATGAAATAATGCTTTCAGTACAAATAAAAACCAATGTAAACGGGACAAATGAGAATTCATCGAGCTCATTAATCAAAATAAAAGACACAACGGAAGGGAGATGATCAAGAACGAGAGAGCTTYCTATTGTCCTGGACGTTATCGGAACCTACATGTAACTCACAACGCAACAAAATCCCTTTTCCTCAAAAAAGGACTCTTAGGAGCTTAGAAATCCTAGCGATAACTGCCTGATAAAATCTTCAGGTGTTGCTCGGTGCTCATTCGTAACAGTCAAATCAGTCCTTGTTGAGCCCTCGCTTTTATTACCGTATTTTGACAATGAAAAAATCTGCTTCTAAGACTTTAGATCCTCTCATTTTAGTCTAAAATACAACTTATCTCTTTCCGACTTATCATTATTCGTTTTACGGCTTAAGAAGAGAGGGAAAAAACACACAAAAGATGGATTTTCGAGTTTCGTTTCTCGGTTTAGCGAGAGAAAAAAGTTAGTTTACTTGTATGATTAATTTGTAGATCTTGATGAGATTTCAAACACTTGTGACAGAAAAAAAATAGTCTGTCAAGAGTGGGTTTAGAGTTTGCGCAAAGGAAAAAAAAGATAAACTTTTAGTGGTGACAAATGCACAAGTTTTCAGGCGCTTGATGTTTTCAGTGTAGATAAAAAGACTACTTTTAGTAATCAATCACAACTCGATGGCTTCAAACGATTTGACTTTACTTTTCTCTCTGTTGACTTTATTTACATTTTTTAAACGTTGATATAATTGGATCTTTATACTTATACTTTACGATCTAATGTAAACAAAATATGCTGAACTGTGTACAGATAATATAAATTTTGAAAATGATACAGGAGCTTCGAGAGAAGCGGGATTTAAGATGCCTATTAACTCCTTTTTAAAGAAATTTACACATCAAGCGATTGTAGACCTCCTGTGATGACCCTAACCTTCCATTTAAGAGATTTAATAATTTTCTATAGAAGAGTTAGACTCTAAAAGTTTAAATAAAGCTTTTAACTGTGAATGAAGTGATAAGMGCYTCACAATGTATAGAAACACCCTTGGGGAAACAATTAAATGTTGAAAACGAAATTTTATGCTAAATCTTCGCCTGTGGCGATCAATATATGAGCAAAACTTTCTTTTGATTTACWAGACAAGTCATCAAATGTTACAATTATAGARCTATGGATAGTTTTTTGAATTAAATTACAAGATTGGGTTCTTTTCTTTGTAAGAAAAGCTCAATCCACTTGGAAAACGGGCATTCCATTTTAAAGAAATTGATACAAATTGATTCAAAAGTCCTAAAACTCGGCCTTTGATAAATCTACACCTTTGAACTAAGTCATATATGGATAAGGGATTTTACCTATTGTTTTCACACTTAAAATTACTCGACTTCTAAACAACTTTAACTTCATATGTTCAATAAATCTATAGTTTATGTATATATGTTAAGATTTCTCTAATGGTATCATGAGCATGTTTTTTGTGTAGCCTATTTAGGGTCTCATTTGCGTAAATAAGTTCTTGTACCTGCTAAAATATACGTGGGATTCAACTCCCATAAAGTCTCTGTTCTATAAGTTCTAGGTCGTTATCCGATGCCTGCTATAGCCTTTATCTCTCGCATTATTCTTCCGATGGAGTTCTTACCCATGGGGACTTTATTAAACCAAATATCTCCCTTTGGTTTATGCTTGGGAGTCAAGTAGAACGATGAGATACTTGGAGGACGGTGGCGCAAATACACTTCGAACGCGCGAACCGGATCTCGTTCCCCACCGTCGGTCGCCACAACTCTAGCTTTACATCGTTTCTTGCTTCTCTGCGGGTCTTTTTCTTCAGGCCCGATGCGATGTCGCTTATTACCGGCTTTTACATGATCAATAACTATCTTGCCGTCGGCAGCACGCGTTATTCTGAAGTCATCGACGCTGAGATCGTGGTGCGCCATCCTTCCACGAATGCCGTGGCACACGGTGTTAATCCACCATTGTAGTCGAAGAAGTGGTCTAGGTGCGTGCACTCCAATTGCTCCTGTAGCCCACATTCTAGCGAGCTGTTCATCTGTTATGCTTTCCACAACGTTAGGGTGATTCCCCTTTCCTTTTCTCTTCAATTCATTTCTTTTCGTAACGAGGCCATAATTCACAACGTCAAACTCGCGATCGGCTAGGTCGAAGTTTTCCAGCGCTGGGGGGCATTTTCTTTCGAGAAAATATCTACGAAGACCGTTTCTGTAGGTTGTCAGAGTAACAGGCTCGTACTCGTTGCCCTCCTTGCCTGGCCTTGTGTCTCGAATCTCGAGAAAAAAGTCTTTCAGTAGTTCGACGGCTAGTTGTTTGGTAAGAGAGTTCATGTCTAGAGATTTACCCGTTTTGTCTTTATACCACTTCTTAAACCTTCTGACAGAGGTTTTAGTTCCTTCGACWGTGTTTTTGCATCGATTATTATCGTCGACATCTTCGATTTCTTTGATGTCTCCTTGGACGGAGTTCGGGTGTTTTTTACTTTCTGCTCGGTGATTCACGAAGCCACTAAACCCCTTAGCATCGTCTTTGGAGTAAGCGTGACTTTCACTTGGAAATGGCGACTCGTTTGGGTCGAAAGATGCTGGGATGCTATAGGACGGTGGGTATGGTCTAGGCGGGTAGAGATGTGCACTTTTCGCAGTACTGGAAGGATAATAACCATACATTGGTGTRCTAGCATCAACAGGATAAGTAGTAGGCAAATTATGCGGACCGTGATATAAATGAGTTCTCATGTCATAATTATTGGMTTGTTTCTGTGACTGTACACCGGGAATCGCAGGAATGGATGGATGKAGTCTTAAACCGCCATCTCCTTTAGACGAGCTGTAATCTGCCATAGCTCCTAGCGGATATTCACGGTACATGCCATCAATGGGTTCTTGGTTGATTTGATTACACGTTGGCCCTGCGTACGTGTGTAGGCTGTTAGGAACCGGGTATGAAGACGACGAAGAACTGTAAGGTTCTGAAGACTGTAAAGGTAAGTCATGATGGTCTTGGTCGTGKATTCCGTCCGGAATTCCTTCCAAGCTGTGATTGTAGTGTCCGCGAAGGTCKTCAGRACTTGGTTTCTTGACCAAGTATTCGCTGGGATTGAACATGTTGGCAATCGGCGGCCCRAATCTCGACGGTGGCTGTCTATAGTCACCCTGAGTTAAAGTGTTGAATGGAAAGTCAAAACCCATAGGRCCTTCCATGGCCATATTAACTTAGAAATAGTGCCCGTGAGATGTTACTCAGCGCACGACTWCTTCACGACTGACTGACTTGGCTGTGTGCGAGCGGCTTTATACTGCTAAAGAAGTCTTTTAGACCTCTATTGTTGTCCTTGAATTTATGTATTTCCTGTTTTACGTGAACTGGGCCCTCAATTAGTGGTTAATGACTGTCCTCCTGGGAGTAGAGCAGTTTTTAATCTGCAATTTGTCGAGCCCTTGACGACTGGTCTAATAATATGTAAGGCCCCAACAATCTGACTATAAATGGAATGGCATTATCTACGAGCCAAATGGGGAGGGGAGGTTTTTACACCGAGGTTAATTATCCTCTTGAATGGCTGCCACTTCAGGAGCCAGCCACATTCAATGCCTCCAACACACCTGACAGAGACGATTGTTCTCAATTCATTTGAGAATGATTGACACATGTCAATGCTGTCAGCATCGGACACTTCCATCTCAACTCACGCTTACTTCAGATACAAAAATACAGCATTATGTCTTTTTCCCCTACTTGTAAAAATGACTTTTGAACATTAAAAGGACAGTTATATCACAAAACGCACACAAAACTGTACACGAAACTGGTATCTTTAGCGTTAGCAACCGGTTATTKCTATTTTGATCATAAGATCGTTGTTTTTATAGCTTACTTGAACGTGCTGGTCTTAATCTTGCACTAAAACTAATTTCGAGACAGAATTCGTGAATCGATGAATTAAATCAAACCCAAACTTTAAAGTAAATCTTTTCAATGAGTTTAACACCTTTACGACAAATCGTTGAAAGAAAACTAAAAACCATAGGTGAGAAAGCCATTATTATCTTATTTTCATATCACCGAAAAGAAGTAAATCATATGATTTATGGCATTGTCGTTGGAAAGGAAAGGTGATGAAAATTAGCTCGAAGCCTGTTGTTACCCTATCACATAGGAGAGATTACCAGCTCARCAACAAAGCCTTAGTTCGTACTTAGTGTGTTGTATTCAAAAATCAGAGTAATTTTCTACATTGTTTGGCTTTTCCTAACGACCCACAGCTTTAGAGGAAACTTCGATTTCACCAAAAAGTGCTTGAAGTTTTCACTTGTCCATTACTATGGCCATTTTTCATGCCACGATACGCTCTCAAAACTGACGGATCACTTCAGATTTGATATACAATTTGCATTACACTAGCTTGACGATCAGAAGAATGATTTCGCTGTGTGGTAAGCTTGACGAAACCTATACAAAAGCATCAGTAAAGAATGACTGTTTTTGTTTTGAAGCACACAGCCGACATGTACAAATTGTATTCACATAAAAAACCTATTGTGGGTTTCCAAGTCGAAGGCGGGGTAAAAGATTAGCTTTTCTACAAAAATATATTTCCTCTGCCGAGTTGGTGCACTTTCTTCGTCTCCAAAGGCTGAGCACCACTCAAAGAAGATTTGTCCTTAGATAAGCATACTCGCTAATCCATCGTTCATTTTACAGATCTATTGTTTCTTCGACATGTTACCCAAAAGAAACCTTTCGTGTTTCATGTTTCGTAAATTGTGGCATGACCAAGTGGCTCGCAGGTGTAGTAAATGATTCTCAGAGACGCAAAAGCCGGAGGGGTTGTCTATATCTATAAACTATAAAAACAACGAATGCCTACGTAGATTTCCACCTAGACTCGTAAGAAAAATGAAAGAACAAATGATCRTTGAATAATTTCGAATGTTGTCARTTTCTTGATCAAGTGTTCTAGAAGTTGCTTTCGAAAACAATAAACTGGTAAATACTTAGCGAAAGCCCAAAATAACTATACAGTGCAAAGTATTCAACTAATAGCTAAACGAGTGTAGTTCAGTCGAGGATTGCGACCCTGTTGACCTTCGGGTAGACCGTTGTGCGTCTAAACTATCACGAAAGAAATCTTGCCATGTAAAGCCGTTGCCTAGTGCTTGAAATCTCTGGAAAACAATGTCGACTAGAGGCTTAAGTTAAACCACAAAATTACTGGCCTAAATTGATGGYTTTGAGTAGCACAATTGAAAGCGTTGAAAAACTAGTTTTGTATTCTAATTTCAGAAGGAAATGAGTTTTCTTAAACGTGAATGGTAAAATAGTTAATAACCTGCAAATGGTTTCACTTGTTAAAGTAGAAACCCATCAAACAGTAGTTCAAAAGTACTATCCACACATATTCTGAATTGGTTAACATCACTAACTACCCAGAATTAACGGCCGATTGTCAACCCCATAAAACTGTGCGTCGTACAAGATTTAACGCCTGTGTTGAATTCAATCTGAAAGCTACTAGACCCTATATCAAATTTTATAAAAACTTCTAGAATACATGATCAAGAAATTGACAACATTTGAAATCATTCAACGATCATTTGTTCTAATTTGCGTTCTTTTCTTTTTTTGCTATAAATCGAATTTTAATAAACTATTCTATGTATTTAGATGAAGACCATATAATGCAGCTTTTGCGCATTGGAATAAACTTATAGAACAGTTTCTYAAGTCAAACATTGTTGAAAGATTTCAACCTGTTTCAGTCTTAAAGTCCTTCTAAGCTACGCTTAGCTGAAAATATATGTAAAACCATTAAAACATTCAGCAGTTCCTTATAGAAATCCCAAAGACGTCCAGATAAGTTATCGACTCTGCTAAAAGCACTTGATTTTATACAGAAAACGAAAGTTGGATAATACAAAATSTTTTTTAAAAATCAAACGGTTTCCAAGGACTTCGGCCTGCTTCACAAGTCTAAAAGTAGCTAATTTTGCTTCTTGAAGTAAATCAGGGTGAAGTTAGCATCAKRAGAAATCATAAAGCAATGTTCGCGAAGAAATCATTGATCAAAACTAATTCCAAGGAATTGAAAATTGACTTTGCAGTAAAAAATTAGAATCTTTTTTCAATCTGAAAGTAGTGTTAATATAAAGGATATTTAGAATTATATTTTTAGTACTACATTTACTTTGATTTCCACTATGTGTACTTTGAAGGATATGAGTTCAATTCAAAGTGTGAATTAGAAAAAGAACATTTCGATAAGGCATTAACTTGTGTACTTTAGGATTAGCCCAAACTGCTWAGTCATTATTATAGATGGGACAACCTCAGATAAAAGCCTTAGAATTACAAATACGACGAGCACAGTACAGTAGGTATACATTCCGTCAATAATGAAATACAAACACACCACATACGGTTTTTATATATCATTTTTAACATTAACAAAACGCTTTTCTTAGAACAAGTTTTTTCGCAGTACAATTTTTTTCTCACGAGTTTCAATGCTTAAAAATAGTATCTTAGTAGAATTCAAAACTATAGCATTTCATCAAAGATCATACTAAAAGCATYTCCAATATCTCGTAGTCATGTTACCAAGTTTCAATAAAAAAGACAAAGTTCCGTGTTCTGAGGATAATCCCCCAAGAAGGCGTCACACAAATTAACAATATGAATGACCAAATAAAAATTAAATGCTAAGATAGTTGTTAAGAAAGGACGACTTCATTTCAAACAATTGAAGACCAAATATAACTACCCCGTCATTATTGACCAATATGGCCAATATATGGAGTTATTTAGACCTGGGGTTGGTTACAGCCRAGAACAAAGTGCCTACCGCTAAATATCATCAAGTTGGACAAGCTTTAACAAATGGAAGTACCATTAAGCTTTACTAACTATTCTTAAATTTTGAAATGTCAGTTTCGATATATATGTTTTGTTTTTCTAYTAATCTGTGTGGTTTTAAGAAATAAAACTGGAAAAATGAAATAGACTCGATTTCTTAATGTCTGCAAAATTATTATGGCTTTCATGGGACTAACTGAAAACATTTATACAATAAAACTAGATTTTTGGAATAGATTTCGAAATAACAGAAGTTTTAGTGCTTTAATGCGAGGTATATGCAACTAGTAGAGTTTTGCCTCGTTCCCGATGTTTGCTATTGCATATAATCTATGCTAAAAGCGATGTTTAAAATAGTAATGGAAAAATCCATTTTACCGTAGAAATAAAATACCTTTGCAAACATATACAGCGTCTGTCTGTTACTTGGTAAAAATAGAAAAAAGGTGATCTTTAGCCTTTTTAGTGAATCTGATAATTATTTTTAACCATACATATCAAATCAACTAGAGCGCCTTTTCAACGAATGTATTATGAACAATTTTAATATTTTCAAAGCGATTTTAATAATATTCTTGTAGTGTGAATTCTATACCATTAAAGCACTCCACTTTTCTTTCTCCATGAAATAAAAAAGATCCTGTTAATGTTTCATAATTCATAGATATGACTTTTATTGGATGAAGCAACGCTGATAGACGCCATGATTACCTGCTCTGATCAAATACTGCATTGAACTTCTCAATATAATACAAAGAAAAGCAAAAAAATATAATAAAAGGGTTTATAGAATATTGCAGAATAAAAAAAGAGGTTGAAATTCGGAAAAAAATAATTTAAGATTTTGTATTGAATCCGGCAATTGAGACGAAACGAGGAAATAAATTGTGGAAAGCAGACAAAAAGCACTGAATCTAGAGTTTAAAACGTATTTCAATTTTTTCGACATAAATTTAACAAAATACTCAATTATATTGCTAATAACAAGTTTAATAGAAAATGTCAGACGCAAAAAAAAAATCTGTTGAGTTTCAAATTTGTCGAAAATGTAATGAGTGTAAGAAATCTTGTCACTTAAAGATCTGTAAGTCTTGTGTATCAAAGCAGAGTTAGAGATCACAATTGTCACTTACAACCTTTGAAGTAAAAATATAGAACCAGTTGCCGAGAATTGTATTGCATTAAACACAAATTTAACCATATACCACACTGGCAATTATTCCGAAGACTACAATTAGTCGTGTGAGTATAGTAACTGGAACAGAAATGAACCTGGAATTATATCACATTAAACACAAATTTAACAGAATATTTCATGYGGCAATGAAATTCTGAAGACCAAARGCGCAATTACTKTAAGAATATTGAAAACATGGTTTATATATAGAAGTGATAAAGCTGGAATTAAGAGTGCCTGGCACGTAGTAGTGTAGAAAAAATGGTTTATATAAGGCTGCGATGAAGCTGGAATGATTCGAGTGCTTGGCACGTACGGCAGTGTAGACAAAAGTAAAGAAATCCAGAGTTGCAAGATCTATTTTATATATCCGACTTTGAAGACTGCAATATAAACTAGCAAGAAATCAAAAGCAA